TCGCCCCGTCGCGGGCGGCAGGAGGGACGGCACCCCCGAGACGCTCAGGTCGCCCGGGAGGGACCGCGCTCTCCTCCAGCCGACGCCCGCGTCCTGCTTGGGCCTGCTGGTGTCAGAGGCGCTGACATGCCCCGACCTTCTGCACGTGGCCCGGAGCACGTTCCTCCCGGGCTGAAGGGCTCCGTGGGTCGAGGTGGGAACCTGTGGATAATAGGTGGCTGGAGCGAAACGCTAGGAGGTGGGCTGAAGGAGGAGGAAGAGATGATACTTTCTATTTTATTTTTTAAAACCCAGTGTTTCGGGGAGGGGGGTTAAAAGGGGGTTAGGATTTCAAAGTACCAAGATGGAAAAAGGAAATAATAGAACCAGTTCATCAGGAATAAAATAATAAGTTGGAAATAGCGGATGATGAAAGTGTGTCCCAAGTAACAGTTGTTTATCGTCATCATCTTAAACTGCAGAGCTGAGTCCCGCCTCTGTCCAGGAGGCATCGTGGGGGAATCGAACTCCCAACCTCTGGCTCCGCGGCCAGAGACCTAAACCTCTGAGTTATCTAGCAGTTTAAGGCACCACAAAACTCAATTGTTTTTACTGCAACACACAAACAGGGCTGCTTTCCTGGAACCAATTTAGGTGTATTATTTAAAAATATTAATTAGAATTATAAGTTTTTGTTGTGATATAAAGTGATAACTAAAAATTTTGGGGGGGGAATTGAAATCTACTTCTCACCCTCAATAATAATAATAATAATAAATCATAGGGATAAGCAAGTGGCATAATGCCAATACATCAAAAATCAGCCAATTATAATTATACTCCATCAAATGCTGTTCATTTTAGCATTCCAAGCTGAGTAAGCATGTACTTGTTACTGCTGCAGAGCTGCTGCTGCAGATAAAGGTTAGATTCCTTTAGCTGTGTAGCAGGAGTGTGGAGATCCACAGAGCAGAATAGCTTCAAGTCCCCCAATTTAGTCCACTCCTTTTACTCAACTGACACAGTCTCAGTAACTCTGCAACATTTGTTGGAGAAAGCAGAGAGGCAGAGCTCTCTTTGAAATCAGAGGCAGGAGGGAACTATTGGCCAGTGCTGGATACACTAACAATCACCCCAACCCAGAGAGGCCCCTCCCAGCCACACCTACTAAAGGCAGCATGCGAGGTTGCAAAAACTCCAACAAGGGGGAGTCTGAACCCAAAATGTGGGAGTAAATTTCGGACCAGAGTTCTCTCTGCCTAGTCTCTTTGTTATTCTACCTCCCCATCCCATCTCATTTTATTATGTTTGGAGCTTCTGATGCACCCTAATGCCAAGGTTCCTTTCTGGCTGTATCTACTTGGTAGTGAGGCAGGGAAAGATGCTCTTTACATGCACAGAGGTCACCTCTTTTCCATCACTTCACTTGCTCATTTGAGTTTTGTCATTGAAAAAAAAAACAGTTGTTGATCTGGACCAAGCTGTAGGACACTCTGCATTAAATTGAACTCTACATAGAAGGCTGGGTAGTGCAATGGATAGAGTGGCAGACTAGGGCTCGGAAGATCAGAGTTTGAATCCCTTCTCACCCATGGAAACTCATTGAGCCAGTGGAACTGGTAAAACCACTCCTTAAAAACCCACTCATTTACCTTAAAAACCCTATGAGGATTGACTATACAATGGTGCCTCGCATGACGACGTTAATTTGTTCCAAAAAAATTGCTGTCGAACAAAAATGTCATGTGATTTTAAAAAGCCCATAGAAACGCATTAAAACCCAATTAATGCGTTCCTAGGGGCTTAAAACTCACTGTCCAGTGAAGATTCTCCATAGCGTGGCCATTTTCGCTGCCCGTGCAGCAAGGAATCTATGCCAGAAAACAGCAGGCTTTTCGACCTGCAGCCACCGTTCCAATACGGATTAATTCCGTAAGTAGAGGGTCTACTGTAATTTGTTCCAAAAAAATTGCTGTCCAACGTAAATGTCATCATGTGATTTTAAAAAGCCCATAGAAACGCATTAAAACCCAATTAATGTGTTCCTAGGGGCTTAAAACTCACTGTCCAGCGAAGATACTCCATAGCGTGGCCATTTTCGCTGCCCGTGCAGTGAGGAATCTGTGCCAGAAAACAGCAGGCAGCCATGTTTTTCACCCGGCGGCCATTTTGAAACCGCCAATCAGCTGGCCGAAAATCATTGCTTTGCGATAATCGGTTAGCGAAACGGGACCAATCATCGCAAAGCAAAATTCCCCCATAGGGAACATCATTTTGCGATTTCTTTCGTGATCGCAAAATCTTCGTTGTGATCCGATTTCGTCGTCAAATGGAGTGCTCGTAATGCGAGGCACCACTGTAAATTGGTCCCAACTTGATGGCACATAACAAACAGAGAAGGCAGGGGGATTCTAGGAGGTGTAATTTTTAAAGAAAAAAAATCTAAGCTCTGCATGAAATGGCCTTGGATCACAGTACATAGAGTTTCTAGAGTTTAATGGACTTTAGTCTATGTTTTTTTAAAATTGTACTTTTTTCCTACTTTTCATCTGCCTGGATAGCTATATAGTTTAGGATTCTGGCTGTGGAGCCAGAGGATGGGAGTTCAGTTCCCCACTGTGTCTGTGAGCAGAACCCACCTGTGTAGCCATGGGCAAGCTGTAGAGTCCCAGCATGCCCCCACCCAAAAAAAGAAAGGAATAGTAAAACTCCTCTGAGTATTCTCTACGTAGAAAACCCTGGAAAGGGTCACCATAAGTCTTGATGGTACACGATGATGATGATCCTAATTTTCAAGCTGATGTTCTGCCCCAAGCAGGTGTACATGAGTAAATGAGAGAAACAGAGAATGCCCTGATTTCAGGCAGCAAGTGCTGGGAGGGAGGGGAAAAAAGCTGTATGCAACAGATACTATCTGTGGAGATGTCTTAACTTGTGACACTTTGCTCCCAAAGGTTACACCATTTGAGTAATAGCAGGGCAGGATTTTGGTTCTTGTGCTGAATCTTATCCCTAAAATAGTTTCAGAACTTTGGAGAGCTCCTGTAAAGTTAGGGGAAAAACCTGGAGTGGATTCCTCATATCACAATGACTAGCTTTCACTGCTGGCTTCGAAGTGGACAATATTGGATTAGCATCAGGCTTGGTACTCCTCGGGATGTGTTGGACTACAGCTTCTGCTGGCCCCAGGTAGCCATTGGATGATGGAGGTTGTGATCCAAAGCATCTGGAGGGCACCAGGTTGAGAAAGCCTGGGGCAGATGACCAAGTAATCTGAAACACTATGAAGTAGCTCTTGTCCCTGCAGGCAGGATACTGAGGGATGTAAACTCTGATCAGAGCTCAGAGAAGTTGCACTTTTGGATCACAACCACCAAAATCCCCCCAGCCAGCATGGTGAGCATGAAGGAAAAGAAAGAGAATTTAT